CAAGGGAAAGCAATTGAGATGATCAGAGAAACAGGAGAGACAAAGCCGGGAGAGACACTGTTTTATCAACAGGGCCGCCTTGTTTTCTACATCTGTTTGAGGATGACATTTATTAATGACATAGACCATGACCTGATTCTTTTAGAAGGTCCAAGATTGGGAGTAAACATCATAAAAAAATTAAAAGAGGGGGGAAATAAAAGGAAGGAAAGGAGGAGGGAAGAAAAAGAACAAAAGAATGATCAAACCTGAATTATTTTTATACATTTATGGGTCTCACAAATTGATCTTCTATTTTCCTCTGTAAATGACACTTGCCTAATTGGGGAGAACACAATAAAGCAATATTGCTTTATACTCTATTTTTGCAAAAGTCTTTGTGTGAGGAACAAAAGGGCCGATTATGGAAGTCATTTCACACCGTAGGCAGAATGTTATTCTAATATGTGGTTTGGAGCTGGGGTGTGAAAGTCTCCTTCACTGGAGATAGAAGAGAATGGAATGTTATTTCTCATTTGGGAACACAATTTTGGAAGAATGACCAACTTTTTAAAACAAAATCTCTTCCATTACTAAAAATTTTTTTAAATTAAAGAAAAAGAGCAAAATCTTTGATTTCCTTTTGTATTATTCTTTTATCACAACTTCCTCATGTTTTACTAAACTTGCTTTTCTTTCAGGATATCTATGTCCCTATTTCCCAGCTCCCCAGTTTCTTTCTCTCTTTTATTTCTAATTGGCAAGGGTGACCAGTTAACCTTTGAAAAGCACCCTGGGAAAATTTCCAAGGTGATTAGCCATAGATAATTTCATAGATTCCCTCTGCCTAACTGAAATAAATAACAGGTTAAATCTAGAGCCACTGGGTACGTCTAATTGCTTTTTGGCAGAGCTCAACCAAGGCACAAGCACTCCTAGCTGGATTTGGGCTTGATATTCGTAGATGAACTATTTTTTTTGTAAATATTTTTAATGCAGATCAATGCAAGTCAGTCCAGAGAAGTAAAATCAGTATCAGAAAAAAAATATGTATGTAGTGGTCAATCATGGCTGCTAATAATCATTCAACCATTGGTTCTGTCACATCATTGGTTTTAGAGAGATAGTAGGCTTAGGTGGACTAAGAAAAGCAGAGAACATGATTGTGAGTTTTTCAGCAGCTGCAGATAACTTTTTGTGTAGAGCACTTAATCTCTTAGAGTTTCAGTTTACAGCTCTGTAAAAATGAGTACAGCACAGCAATACTAACTGACCTCTGAAGTGATTTGGTGGAATACTAATAAAAATTACAGAAAGCAAATATCAAGTGCTAGGCAAATATTTAAGAATAAACTTTTTCTCTTTAATGGTTTCCAGTCCTGAGCTTTTCTCTACTTTCTGAATGATCTTTTTCCTTCTCTGCATCATCCTTTGTATACAATGTACATTGCCTCAGCAAGGCTAGCTGACAGCTAGGCTAGTGAACGTTTGTGTTGTAGATAGTGCTCCTTTTACATGCAGTTATAGGAGCCTGTGTCCTATAACATGGCTGTGAATGATCTAATTCACTAGTGTACAACTCTCAGGAGTATATGTTTTCAATAGAGTACAGGCAAAACTACCTACAGAATTTGCTACCCATATGAATAAACGTAGAAAAAATACTTGATACTAACTGACAACAGCTCATTTTAAGTCATTTGGATTCTAGAAAATGCTGTTTTCTGAAGCTTTACTTAATTTTTCATCCAACAATTATATATTAAGTTTACTCTTTGTATTTCCTGCTTTTTAGTTTTGGGAATTAACAGAACATTAAAGAAGGGAAATTAGTTCTACATTTTTAGTTGGGATACTTGGATATAAGTAAGTAAACAAATTATACAACGATGTCAAAAACCCCACAAATGCTTTATAGATAGTAAAATAGAGTTGCAGGAGATCTCATGAAAAGCCATGAGTGGCCAAGGAAGGCTTCTTGAGTAGTGGCAGTTGCTTAAGAGCTGAATGATAGGAAAACATAAACCATCAGATGAAACACTTTCATCTGCTGCCACCACCACGTGTCTCCACCTTGTAAACTCTGTCCTCCCCGCTGATGCTACTGATGACCTCTCCCTATTTGTCTCCCTCCCTCGTCAACTGGATTCCAGCTTCTCTTTCCCACTCAGGGGAATCACACAATTATTACCTTGTTTTTCTGCAAAATCGAATATTCACTTTCTAATAGTCCATTCTTACTGAGACCTAAACATAATTGTAATTTTTCTTCTCTCTTGAAAAATATTCAGACTCTACATTCCTCTCCTATTACGATCTCAATTATCTACTCCTTTTTACTGGAAATTCCTTGAAAATTTTCCTTTTTGTCTCTATAGTCTGTTTGGGAGCCACTCTAATTGTGCTTTAACCCTCAAGACTCATTGAAGCAGCTTTTATTGAGGTCACTGATAACCACAATGTTGACAAGGATGGTGGTCATTTATCCAAACCTGACCTATCAGTAGCAGTTAGCAGAGTGGATCACCCTCCTTGAAACACCTGTTTCAACCTAAACTAAGGACATCATGCTTGTGGAGATTGGTGCCCACCTTCCTGCCTGCTCCTTCTCCTGTTCTGGGATTGTTTCCTTTCATTTTCTCTACATGTTGGAGTTCTCTGTGACTCAGCGCTCACTCTCAATCTTCTCCATTTATATTCACCACTTAGGTAATTTCATGGATTTAAATTCATCTCTATGTTGGTGACTCCGTGACCTATCTCCGTAGCTTGGAGGCCCAGAGTCTTACATCCAAATGGTTGCCTGATACATCCAAAGGCAAGTCTGATAGTATCTCAACTTAGCATATCCCCCAAAATCCCTGCAGCCTTAGAAACTAATTTGTCCCTTTGATTAAAAAGGGAAACATGAGAGAGAAAACGGTTTTATGAGAGACAGTGAAGCATTCGGTCTAGGACCATTGTCCCCGGAGTCACTGGCATACAGGGCAAAATTTCAAGAGACTATTAGAGCCAGAGTCAAAGACTTAGAGAAATGCTCTGATTCTCACAGCGTTACAGCTGCTAGCAATGTAATTTTTGTTCTTCTCTTGGCCATCTACCAGTGTGACCTTCGGAATCCAGAAAAGAACAAAAACTTTTTTGGGTGTATATGTGAGCATGTGCGTGTGTTTATATTACCAATTTGAAAGAACTTCTATCATTTTGGGTGGGCAATATATGATGAATATGTCTACCCAGCCTACTTATACTATAACAAGCTTTTAATCATTTAAGAAACATTAAATTACTTAAGAAGTATTAGTTGAGCTCCAAATAACCACTAACATTGTGACAGATATTGAAAATATCAAATGCTATGATGTATAATCTGATATTAAAAAGCTTACAGTCTCTGAGAAGACTTATACATGGTGTTATAAATGGAATATATACTAGTAGGTATTTATCAAATATGATTTGATATGAATAAGTTTTAGCTCTAAATACTGACAAAATACCAGGAGGCTATAATCTTATATTACTTCAAGGATGTGAAATTTGCTACTGTAAGTCAGTTTAAAACATCTCCTAAAATAATTCAACAGAGACAAAAATTGTCTGATATGCCAAATGTAGATATGCTCTTGGTTTATTATGTAAATTAAATTGCTTTTTATTGGTTAGGTTGATGTTGAATATGATAATCAATTTGAGAATGTCAGGGGAAAACTCAGAAAATAAAACTTGTAAGGTATATAGCCCATGTAATTCTAACTAGAGAGTTGTTTTGTATTCTATTTATAGTTAATACAAAACAAAACAAAGAACATTAACAGTTTTCCGCATGAAGAGATTTAAGGTAAAGAAAGAAACGGGAACCGTACACATAGGTGAGCTTCCTTCTTTTCATTATAGTTTTTAAAGGAAGGAGCCCATTAGAATGCACTGAGCCTGGAGAAACGGAAACACGTGGACACCACATTTGTGTGTTTTTTCAAATGCTTCAAGTTCCCCGAGTTTATGAGCCCAGGACAAACACAATTAAAGTGACTGGAGAAAAACACGGAGCTATTTTGAGATGAACTTTTAATAAGTCAAAGTTTGATATATTTAGGAAACAGCTTATAGAGATGTGCGGTTTTAAGAGGATGAAAATGGGGAATGAGGAAATGTGAGGCTAGAAAAGTTTGTGATCATTGACCAGCTATGTTTTACTCCGCCCATCCTCGGCACCAGGTTCCTGGTTTACATTTACAAAGACTAAGCCACTTAGCTAAGTGGAGAATCACCTGCTAATCCATGGTGACTGCTTCACTGGTTTTCAGGTGGACCTCCTTGTGTTTGTTTTCTGGGGGCAACACAGCTTCCTTTCCTCACTTTCTGCTACTTGTGGGTTTGCAAGCAATACTGAACTCTTCTAGAAATTGTTTCCAGAAATGGTTTCTGTAGCACTGAACCAGTAAGGAAGACTCTCAACTTTCCCTTGTGATAAATGTCTTCCTTGGGTCTCCTTAGGGACTTCCCATCTCTGGTGCTCTCCTGACAGCCCTTTTGACATCTGCTTCAAGCCACTGCTTCCTATCCCAGGAGGGAAGCTGGGAATTTTGATTTGTAAAAGGCTGCTTTTCATTGAAGCCAGGGTTTCTTCACAGCTTTTATATACAACTTTATCTGTCTCTGGAAATGTTATCTGCATGATAGATGTGAGCATATGAGTTGAGTAATCTGTTCCTACTTCTTTTCGGATCTTCATTTTCCCCCCAGTTGACCGGGAAATTTGCAGATTTCTACAGAACTGACACTTTCAGTGGAAAGGAAGAACTGAGTCCCAGGTTGTACCTGGCTGGAAGCCTGTAGTGGGCCAAACATTATGATTGATGTTGGAAAAGCGTCATCTAAGAGAAAAACATTCTCCTCTAAGGGTTATGCTTTTATTGAATTGCCATTTGCTTCCTGCTGTCCCTTTCCCACCTCTGTCTAAAGCTCTATTTCTGAAATAGTGTCCTTCCTCTCATTTGTCTCAGAGAGCCATAGTCAAACATCATGAAAAAGCATTGGGAACTACAGATGCCTTTAAACTGAGAGGACTAGTCAGCAGGGATCCAGGATTTCAAATCTCTGCCAGGAAGTGGCTTCAGACGCTTGGAGCCTGAAGATGGAAAATCCTAACCCTTGGTGTTGCTTCAGGTTCCAGCAAGTAGGAACAGAGTTCCCATAAAATGAAGCTAAGGTCACCAGCACAGTGCAATGGGTTAAACTGACGTGACCGGAATTGGACAGCAAGCGCTGCCAGTCCCATCTTGGAAACGAGGTAATTAACAAGTCCTGTTTTAAGTCTCTCCTGCGTCCTTGTGACTTTATGTGCTTAATTGTAAATTATCTCTCCTCCTCTCACTTTCCATTGTGTGTGTGTGTCGGTGAAGCGATTCAAGAAGTGCTGGGACTGAGCTCCCACTGTAAAAACAAAAAAGCGGTGCTCAGTGCCTCTGAGGGCCCGCTCCTGCCAGGCACTGAAGCTGGTGACAATATGGAGCTTGTTAACTCCAACTCTTCTCCGTTGTACATTGTTTTGTGATATGTTTTACAAAAACCCACCCCGGGGAGAGAAGGGCCAGTTGCCTCTTTATTACACTCTGGAAGAGGCACATTAGCGTTCCAGTCTATATATTATGAAATTAAGTGGATACCCTTGGGGTTAATTCCTTGTTGTAATTGTAATGAAAAGAAACAATTTCTAACCTTCCATTTAAGATCTATAACTATTAAAATCCACTAGTGTTAGTGACTCCTGGGGCCAGTGGAGTGCTTCAGTGTGTATGAAAAGGGCACTCCTACAGTGTCCAATATCAGTAATTTAAAAAATAACCACCTCCAAGTGGGAAAACTAACAAATGAGTTTTCCATTTAGCCCCTCCCTGCTGTTTACCCAGGGTGTGTTATATGCATCAGCTGTGTGAATTTGTATGCATATTAAAATTACAGGCCTGGGTTCTAGGATTTTGGTTGGATAAGAGGAGGGGAAGGGTACAGTGCGATGCTCTTCAGGAAGAGATTTAGAGTGATTCATCCTAAAGGACAAAGTTGAAAGAAGTGGGAAAAAGGACCATAGTAGAGAAAACCAGCATGCTGCCTGCTCCCCTCCCACCTCCGAGCCTTTTCTGCTTCTTAGAGTGGTTTTCACATGTGCTTTCAATTGCAAATAAATACATATTTTGCTTTCTGATATTTAGCCTGCTATAATTGTTTATTGTTAGTGGCAAAAAATGTACATTCTGCATATGACATCTGATTTAATTTCTTTATTACAGCTATTAAGGTCATTAAAATACCAAATTTACTAGTGTATTATCATCTGACATGGTGTAAATCACTGGTTGGTACATACACAGTGGATGATGACAATAATTTAAAATAAAAGAAAGGGATGTTTCAGTTTGTAATAGCGTTAGCGTGTGAAAAAGACTTGGTGAGGCTTCTAAGATTTCTGGCGGGAGTTCTTTTTAATAACTGTATTTGTTCAGTTTTGGTTGATACGATCACAGCTCTTTTCTCTCCTTTCAGTCATCATAATATAAACTGCTTCAGAAGAAAGAAAACACAGTTGCATGCTCGACAGAAAAAGAGCAAACTAAGAAATAATTATTGTATTAAAAAAATTTCCATTCTATTGCCTCAGGAAATGTGATAAAAAGTTCTAGTTTTTTTTTTTTTTTAAATAATGCATTACATTATATGTCACAACTTATTGGGAAAAAGCTTTATTTTGGGTGAATAGTTCCTGTTAATCATGCAGCATAGCTCCTGATGACTTTATGTATGTGTGTGTGTCTCAGAATGCCCGAGAAAAGTCACTAATCCTTTGCTATTCTTTTTTTTTTTTTTTTTTTTTTTGAGACGGAGTTTCGCTCTTGTTACCCAGGCTGGAGTGCAATGGCGCAATCTCGGCTCACCGCAACCTCCGCCCCCTGGGTTCAGGCAATTCTCCTGCCTCAGCCTCCCGAGTAACTGGGACTACAGGCACACGCCACCGTGCCCAGCTAATTTTTTGTAATTTTTAGTAGAGACGGGGTTTCACCATGTTGACCAGGATGGTCTCGATCTGTTGACCTCGTGATCCACCCGCCTCGGCCTCCCAAAGTGCTGGGATTACAGGCTTGAGCCACCGCGCCCGGCCCAATCCTTTGCTATTCTTGTGTCATTTGCAAATCTTGGCAGTCCCAGATTTGACTCCCATGTAGTCATTTCAGAATGCCAGCAGAGAGCTGGTAATGGCCCATCATGTTTAGGTCACTGGCTTGTATCGAACCAGGCAGGTGGTCTAAGTGAAATTAGCAGGCCTGTCTCAAGTCAGTTCCTGCTTTCCTCCAGTCCTCAAACAAAACATTTTGCCAGTCTCATTTCTGAGCTTCCCACTCATCCCTAATTGGCTGCTTCAGAGAGGAGAAGATTTTGAGACATTCCAACGTGAATGTGGCAGTAGAAGGGAGAACTGCTTTGCCTTGAACTCTACCTGGGATTATCTAACTCCTAATGTGATTTTTAAAGTTTGAACTTTTGAAGCAATTTCAGAATTTGCACCACTGTGCTGTTTGTGTGCCCTTCATCCAGCTTCCCCCTAATATTAACAAGTTACATAACCATGGTACAATGATCAAAACCAGAAAGTTAAAATTGCTTTAATACTAGTAAATGAATAATGTTGTATTCACATTTCTTGAAATTAAAGATAATTCTTGAATTATTATTATATCATTATTCTTTCTTTAAATTCAAGATTATTCAAATATTGGCAGTTTTTGTTTGTTTTGTGTTGAGATGAAGTCTTGCTCTGTTGCCCAGGCTGAAGTGCAATGGTGCAATCTTGGCTCATTGAAACCTCCGCCTCCCAGATTCAAGCAATTCTCCTGCCTCAGCCTCCTGAGTAGCTGGGATTACAGGTGCATATCACCATACCTGACTAAATTTGTACTTTTAGTAGAGATGGGGTTTCACCATGTTGGCCAGGATGGTCTCGAACTGCTGACCTTGTGATCCACTCACCTCGGCCTCCCAAACTGTTGGAATTATAGGTGTGAGCCACTGTGCCTGGCCGACAGTTTTTTCCTTAATTTTTTTTTCTGTCCCAGGGTCCAATCCAGGAATCCACATTATATTTAGTTGCTTTTTCTTCTTATTGTCCTCTAATCTGTGACCGGTCCTTTCCTAGTCTCACTCTCTCAAATTTGGCTTGCTGATATTTTTTCATCATTGGATTAAGGTTATATATCTTAAGCAGAAATACCACAGATGTGATGTGTCCTTCTGTGAATGCCGAGTACACTGTACGTGATGTAGGTAAGTCTTATGATTAGTGATGTTGGCCCTGATGGCTTGCTTGAGGTCGTGTCTGCTGAGTTTCTCCACTATGAAGCTACTATTTTCCTGATACAGTAGTTTTAACATTCAAAATTATAAGGCCTTTCCAAGGAGGTATCTGTTTGTGTGTGTATTTCAAGAAGGAAAAAGGAAGAGCTGCCCTTTTCTCTAAGTCTTCATTTACAAAAGTCTAAACTCATTTACTTATTTTAGCAATCTTCATTGTTCTATCTAGCTAATGTTGAAGGTGCTTGTCTTACTTAGTTCAGGCTGCTATAACAAAGTATAAATTGGGTGGCCTATAAACAATGATAATTTAGTTCTCACAGTTCTGGAGACTGGAAGTCCGAGAGCAGGGTGCCAGCATAGTCAAGTTCTGATGAGGTCCCTTTTCTGGATACAGCCAGCTTCTAACTGTATCCTCATATAGCAGGAAGAAGGCGAGAGAGCTCACTGGGTCCCTTTTATAAAGGCACTAGTTCTATTCCTCACTGCTCCACCCTTATGACCCAATTTCTCACAAAGGCCCACCTCTTCATACCATCACATGGAGGGTTAGGATTTCAAAATATGAATGTTGGTTAATCCATTGCAATGCTCAAGTAGTTGAAGTTAAATCATGCTTAGTTTGTGATCCCACAACCATAATTGTAATGTTGGAAGATGAGAACAATGAAGGTGTGAGGTCTGGGCTTGGAGGGAAGAAACCTATAAACCTGGGCCAGTGGAAGCCATTGACATTAATTGCTGGGCCAAGCAAATGAATAGAATTTGGAGTACAATTTGAGCTGTGTTCCCGAAATCGCTTTTTAATTTCACTAACACTATGAACTGAATGTTGTCCTCCTGCATTTGTCAAGGTTCTCCAGAGAAACAGAATAATGTACACACACACCCCAAATGTATATGTGTGTGTGTGTGTATATATATATATGTATGCATGTGTGTATATGTGTGTGTGTATATATATATATATATATATGTATATATTCCCTAGAGAGAGAGCTAATTCCCTAGAGAGAGAGGTAGATTATGGGAATTAGCTCACATGACTGATTATAGAGGCCAAGTGGTTCCATTGGCAGTCGGCAAGCTGGAAAGCCCATAGTACAATTCAATTTGAGTTGCAAGGCCTGAGAACCAGGGCAGACAGTGTTGTCAGTCTCAGTTCATCTGAAAGCCTGAGAACTGGGGTGGGAGGGTGCTGGTGTTAGTCCTAGAATCTGAAGGCTCAATAACCTGGATCTTCACTGTCCAAGAACAAGAGACAATGGATATCTCAGCTCAAGAAGGAGAGAATTTGCCTTTTTTCTTTCTCTATAGATTGGATTATGCCCTCCCACACTGGTGAGGGCGGATCTTCTTTACTTAGTCTACAGCATCAAATGCTCATCTCTTCTGCATACCTCCTCACAGGTATAGCCAGAAATAAACCAGCACCCTCTCACTCCCTTTCTGCCGTGTGAGAATACCATGAGAAGTCAGCCTTTTACAACACAGAAGAGGGTTCTTGCAAGAGCTCAACCGTATTAGTACCCTGATTTTGGACTTGCAGCCTCCCTAACTTCCAGCCTCCAGGGAGAAATATATTTCCATTATTTATAAGCCACCCAGTCTATCGTACTTTGTTATAGCAGACTGAACTAAAGCAACTACTTTATGTAATTTAAAAAATACGTTTCTGTCTGTACCACTGTACTGTGATCCCCGGGAGGTTGGGAATTGCGCATCATCTCTCTTGGAACCGAACTTGCAATATGTGGCAAATACCTGCCGTAGTAGGTGATGAATATGTGTTTATTAAATACAAGAATACGTGCTCAGTAGGGAGAAGGCAGAAATTAAAGGGACCGGCATGTAGCGAAAGAAACTCATGACTAGACTAAGACAGCCACAGGGATCTATAATCATGATGTGTTACCATGGAGTATGTCTTATATCTTGTACACTTGTTGTGGGAAAAGACCACGTGCACCCTGTATACTGTTTTATTCATAGTTCCTAAGACAGTTACATGGAAATATTTAGGCAACTAATGGATGTGGGCTGTATTTGTTTTCTACTGATGCCATATGAATTACCACAAATTTAGTGTTTTAAAACAATATCTCTTATTCTTCAGTGACTTGGGTTGGAAGTTTGACACAGAGATCTCACTGAGCTAAAATCAAGGTGTTGGCAGAGCTGTGTTCCTTTTTGGAGGCTCACTAAGGTTATGGGCAGAATTCAGTCCCTTGTGACTTTAGGACTGAGGTTCTTATTTCCTTGCTAGCTGTCAGCGGAGGGTGGTTTCCGGTTTCTGAAGGCTTCATCCATGGCTCATAGCTCATTCCTCCATCTTCAAAACCAGCAATGGCACGTTGAGTAGGAATCTCTCCTCCTCCTTCTTCTGTTGTTGCATCTCTCTGACCCTTCCACCTTTCTTTTCCACTTTTAGGGTCCATGTGATTCCATTAGACTCATTAAGACAATCCAGGATTATCTGTATATTTTAAGGTCTGTGTGGTAAGCAGAATAATTATTTCTCAAAGATGTCCATATCCTAATGCCTGGAATCTATGAATATGTTACATTACATAGCAAAGGAGAATTAAGGTAGAAGAAAGAATTAAAGTTGTTAATTTGCTGTCTTTAATATGGTAAGAGCAGCCTGGATTATCTAGGTGGGTGCAATTTAATCGCAAGGGTCTTAAATGTGGAAGAGGCACACAGAAGAGTCAGTGTCAGGGTAATGGACTGTGAGACACTCCGTCAGCCACTGCCAGTTTTGAAGAAGAAAGGAAGCCAAGACCTAAAAACTGCAGTTAGCCTCGAGAATCTGAAGAAAGCAAGAAAATGGATTCTACTCTGGAGCAGCCAGAAAGGCATTCAGCCCTGCTAACACCCAGGACACCCATTTTGGACTTCTGATCTCCAGAACTATAATAAGCTTCTGTTGTTTTAAGACACTAGGATTGTGGTGATTTGCTACACCAGCAGTAGAAACCAATGAGGTCTGTAACCTTTTTCCATATGCAAGTTTCTTTTTACTATGGAACATAGCATAGTAGCCATCTTTGGTGGGACAGTGAGGGGCATGATGATTTGGTTTATCACAGTAGAAGAGGGACTAAATGCGATTAACATTGCTAGTAGAAGAAGGAGTAATAGAAACAACAGAGGAGGCAGTGCCCTCTTTCTCCGGTATTTTGATGGCTGCATGCTACATTCTTGTGCTTGTGCTTTACATATTACAGATTAGGTTGATTCCAGTGTTTTTCAGATGTGGAAACTAAGAATTGTAGGGCTTAAGTTATTTGCATAGTTGATAAATGGCAGTTAGAATTTTATTCTTGGATTTTCAGACCTATTTCCTTCATCACCATCCCCAACCCTTTAAAAAATTTTGATCTAATACTTGTGGAAAAGAAAACAAATTGAATGCTAAAAATTTCCTCTGGCCCAATTCCCTTTCTGCTTTTCTATTAAACACTAGCCTTTGAAGTCTTAGAATGGCAAATCAGAACTAAAAGGTAAAAACAGCCAAGAATAGATTAAATAGACCATAAATTGAGACACTTATTAATATTTTAAAATGAGGAATTAAATATGAGAGCAATAGAAACCCTGAATTTTCCTTCTAGGAGCTGTAAAGTTTTCAACAGTTATGTTTACCTCTTCAAATTACGCAGGTGGCCATAGAACTGGTTTGAATTTGGAACTGAATTAGTAAGAGAGGCTAATTATGAAATTAATATTGCTGCAATTGATTATCGCTGGGCCAAGGGTAGAGAAAATTTCTGAGAGAGCATAAATTCAGAGAAATTATGAGCACATTAAGAACCTGCTCATGTTGTTACAGAAACTCACAGAAATGCTCTCAAATGAGGTTATAACCACAGGATCACAGAGTTGTTGCACTGAAGTTAAATTTATTAGGTTGAGCAAAGATTTTCTTGCTTTTGGACTAGACCACTGAGAAATCATGACTTCCCTCAGTCTTTCCTGTTTCTGCTGGGTTGTGTATTCTTTGTTACTATGGTGCTGTTGACATCCTCAGGGCTAGCAATCTGTGAAATCCATCCAACCACTGAACATAGATCCTTCTGAGAGCAGCTAACAGATTATGTGTCAGATCATTCCTGCCTCTGATATTGTGCCAGATCTACTCTATAGAAAACCGTAGATATTGCAAGGCTGCCTTCATTTGTGATCCCCTTATTTGGGGTGTAATATTTCTATGTGTACTTCCACTATTGGAAATTGTCTCAGCTTTCAAATACTAGGGCTAAAAGTTCTTCGATCTTTCCAACTGCTTCTTGTTCCTCAACACTCCTTTACAAAAGATCGTTAGATCTTCTTAAATGAAACTTTTGATAAATGTACTTTTGTACTGAAGTTAAACCACTAACATATATTTTAGATTAATCCTCTCACCGCCCCCACCCACTTTTCAGGTATAGATGTCTGATATAGAAGGATTTTATTGCTAATGGGGGTTGAGAGATTGATTGAGCCCACTTCAGGATTTTTTTATCCTGATTAAAGAGTCCAGGAGAATGATCAGTCATATTCAGAGGTTGTGACTAGTGATAATGTTGAACAGTATTGGGAATAACATGTTAATCCAAACAGAATTACAGTTGACCCTTGAACAACATGGGGGTTAGGGGTACTGACCCCTGTGTGTCCAAAATTCACATGTAATTTTTGAATCCCCCTAAACTTAACTACTCATAGCTACTATCGACTGGAAGCCTTACCAATAACATAGTCAATTAACACATATGTTTATCTGTTACGTATATTAAATACTATCTTCTTACAATAAAGTAAGCTAGAGAAAAGAGAACATTATTATTAAAATCATAAGGAAGAAAACATATATTTATTATTTGTTAAGTGGAAGTGGATCATTATAAAGGCCTTCATCCTTGTCATCTTCATGTTGGGTAGACTGAGTAGGAGGAGAGAGAAGTTGGTCTTGTTCTTTCGTGGGTGGCAGAGGAGGAAGACATCTCGGAGAAGGTGGAGGGGCAGGCAAGAGAGGCAGGCACACTGTATAACTTTTATTGAAAAAAAACTTGACGTGTAAGAGGACCTGTGCAGTTCAAACTCATATTATTCAAGGGTCAACTATACTCTTTCCCGTAATTCTTGAGTGGTTTAATTCTTCTTCTTGATGGCCATCAACTTTTCTCAGAAATGCTACTGTCTATTAACTCTGGATTTAAAGAAATTTAAAAGAATAAGCAGCTCAGAAACAAATATTATTGGCTAAGTATAGATTGAGAAATGTAGGACTTATTTAAATTTCTGTATAATCTCTGCAAGAGTTTGTAAATTAGGACATATCTTCTGGACCTGTCTCTGAACACAGCTTGTTTGACTTTTAAACTGACCACTCCATTCAACAAAACCAAGTGTTTAATGGTTGTTTTTCTGGATTGATTGGCCAACTTAGTGAAACAAGATTTTGTCCACTGTACAGGCATACACTACCCACTAAATCTATGAGATGGGGAGAGCCATAACCTTTTCCTAAGCAAAGGCATCTGTATTAGTCAGTGTTCTCCGGAGAAACAAAATAAATAAGAGATATACACAAAGAGATTTATGGTAAGAATTGACTCATGTGATTGCAGAAGTTGACAAGTCTCAAAGTCTGCAGGATAAGTCAGCAAGCTGTGGACCTATGGGAGCCAGTGGCTTAGTTCCTGTCTTAGACTGAAGGCCTGAGAACCAGGAGAGCTGATGGGGTAGCTGTAGTCTGCAGGATGGCAGACTCAAGACTCAGGAAGAGCTGATGTTTTTGTTTGAGCCGAGAGGCAAGAAAAAAAAGCCAATGTCCCAGTTTAAAGGCAATCAGGGAGGAAGACTTCTCTGTTAATTGGGGGAATTTCAGCCTTTTTGTTTTATTCAGGCTTTCAACTGATTGGATGAGGCCCACCCACATTATGGATGGCAATCTGCTTTACCCAGTCTAGTAATATAAAGGTTAATTTCATCCAAAAACACTCTCACAGAAACACCCAGAATAGTATTTGATCAACTATCTGGGCATCCAGTGGCTCAGTGAAATTGACATATAAAATTAGTCATCAGTTTTCAAAAGCATAGAGTATTTTTAAATGCTTTTAAAAAAACATTAAATTTTACCAACTCTAAACTCAACCCCAGTAATCTGTCTGGGGTACTCTGATTATTATTTTTTAAACACAAGAAAGTGTGACAGGGTTCGGATAATACCAATATTGAAGAGACAATGAAGAGCAAGATATTTGCTTCCTTGCTCTGCCTGAATCTCAAAGACTAACATAATCATCGATCTGCATTATGAAAATTTCAGAGGAGAGGTATATAAATCTACAGCCTGTAGTATTTCCTCATTGATAATTCCTTCTCGGGGTGACCCCGTGCTGTTGATACGCCATGTTTGTGCTGTCACTCTCTGTGCTGCGTGGAAGTCTAATTGTGCCAGCCTGTGATGGCTGCCCTCAGCATATTCTCTGTAGTCAAGCCCTCTTTTGTGACTTTATCAGCTCACGTGGCTGCTGCTTTGTCATTCTGTTGGCATCTGGGGAGAGGACATCACGGATCCCGTCCCTAAATGCTGTAGAAATGATGATTAGAGGGAGAACTGTCAGTGAGTCATTGTGGAAATGATTTTTCTGTAAGTAATAAGGAGAAGTGTGTTGTTGAAGATTATAAACCCCACCATAGCATCAACAACCTGACTATTTAAAGTATACATGGCAGTTTTCAAAAGAAGAGATGAGCTCAGTGGGATTCCTGGTTGTTATGCATTCAATCTTAAATGGATTTTGGGAGAGAAAAAAATACCATTTGGCCATGGTACCTTTTGATTCAGACTTTAGGAGGAGCTATTTTAATTAAAAATTAAGTCTTTCAGAATGGTCTTTGACTAAGTAATATGGCAAATTCTTTTTCCTAATTTTAGGGCAGTGCAGTTTGCATGACAGTGACTGAACTCCTGAGGCCCAGTGATGTTTGTGTGCTTACTGAATGCCTGTAACTTGGCAAATATATTTTAAATAACATAAATTCTGATTTTGGAACTTAGTGCCAGAAGACATCATTGAAGGTGGAAACATATGGCCATGACTGGAGTCTGGTTCAGGGCCCTGAAGTTTTAAAATCCTAATGCTTCCTGCAGAAACAGAGCTCTGAGAAGGAAAATGAAGGAATTATCCTTTCCTGATACCCCAGAGTACTGCACTATCAAGTGCATTATGGTGGTTTTATACATTCTCCAGGGGATCATTAGTCTATTTCTCTACAACAATTTTTATGTTTTTTAATGTACATCAGTGTGGAAGGAATATCTAACTAACCTGTTTATAAGGATCGTAAAAGATTGTTTTTCCTCTTAAAATTGTGTTATAAAAAAATGAGTCTTTGCATAGCTTTATTGCTGATGTGTTTTCAAGATTTTTTCTTTTTTGTGAAAAATATTATTTCTTTTAAAAATATTAGCCATTTTACTTGTCTTTTCTCATTCATGAAAAGAAAGCCATTGTTAAAGGTCAGTTGAGAAGAGCGCAAGCTCCCAAATTCTCTCCAGACACGATGAATTTAACCCTAAAGCTACCTGCAAAATCCAATACCAACTACAACAGAATGGGTTTTCCTATTCACAAGTGCAGACAACTCTCTGTAGCTATAATCTAAGAGAATCGTTAAAAAGGTTTAACAATTCTAAACTGGCAGTTAACCAATCATGTAAAAGACCTCTCACTATTTCCTTTCTAGTTCTGCCTAAAATGCTTATTTTACTCCCCTAATATAAGCACATTGCATCCCCTAAGTAATTAACTTTATGCTGTGATTTTTTGAGACTTGCTCTGCTTCCCACTGATAACACATACATATATGTATCTGCTAGGAGAGTCCATCAAGTTATGCAGTAGTGACAGTCTCTAATTCTCATTGGTTAAATACACGAAAGTTTATTCCTCTTCCAAAGCAGGGCACCATAGAGCTCGGCTCATTGTAGTTACTCAGAGACCCAGACTACAAAGGTTTGATTTCAACCATGTGGCCAGAAGAAGGGAATGTGGCGAATTTGGCACTAGTTTTTAAATCTTGCAGATGAAAGGGATGCATTTTACTTCCTCTCACATTTCACTGGACAGAGCAAGTAGTAAGGTTATGCCTAAATTCGAAAGGGACAGGAAAATAAGAAATATGGTGAAGGTCTTAACGACTGTGATAACATGATACCTATATATGTAAGTGTGTATATGAACATGAGTCTGTGATGGAAAGCAATCTGGCTTAGGTAGATAGAGCTAGGATTATGATGGAAGGAAACTGCTGACAAATTTCATGGGTTGTAGAGATTAAATTTTTTAAATGATTTTTGATTTACAGAAGAATATGAGGCTATTACAGAGTTCCTGTATGCTCTACATTTACTTTTTCCCCTATTATTACATTTATATTAGTATAGCACCTAATGATCAGGTACTGAAATGCTATTTTTAACTCAAGTCCATGCTTCCTTTAGATTTCCTTAGTTTTATCTAATTTTTTTTTTGGTTCCAGGATTTCATATTGCATTTAGTAGTGATGTCTCTTTAGGCCCCTCTTGACTGTGAGAGCTTCTCAGTTTGCTTGTTTTTGATGACCTTGACAGTTTTAAAGAACAGTGGTCAGGCATTTTATAAAATGCCCTTCATGTGGATTTTGTCTGGTGTTTTTCTCAAGCCTAGACTGGAGTTATGGGTTTTGGGGAAGGTGATCACAGAGGTAAAGTGCCATTTTCCTTATATAACGTAGAGGAAAATAGTATCAACATGATTTATCGCTGTTGGTATTGACCTTGATGACCTGGGTGAGGTAGTATTTCTTGTTTCTACACTGCAACCTTTCTCTTCTTTCTACCTTTTCATATTGTACCTTTGAAAAGACTCACAATAAGCAGCCCACCCTTGTGGAGTGCAGAGTTATACTCTTATTTTGTTGATAGGGATGTATCTACATTACCTACATACATTATTTGGAATGCTTCTGCATGAAGGATTTTTCTTCTTCCATGTATTAGTTTATTTCTTATTTAGTCAACATTTATTTTTAGTAATATGGATGCACATATATTTATTTTATGCTTTATGTTATAATCCAATGCTATTTAATTCTTGTTTTCTCAAATTGTTCCACCTTTGGTATCCATAAGATACCCCATCAACATTTATTTATTTTATTATCATTATTATTTTTTAGCATATTCTTACTTTCTGCTGTAGTTGTAGAGATCATGCCTCTGAAAGTTGAGTTCACAGTCCAAATGAGCCATCTGTTAACATAATTTCAATAATTTCCTATATGTTCATTTTCACTTTGTTGCCTGGTCTTTGCTAAGAAATATAGGAAGGTGTCAAAATGCCTGTCAGATAAGTTGATCCTTTAAAACTGGCAGTGACCTGAAGTGCGATGAACAACAAAATTCCTTTTTCTACAACAGATTACAGAGTCCAAAAGGGAAAGACGCGCTAAGGGCGAGGTTGGCTAAATCAGTTGCTTTCTTCTTTCCAGCTGTAGGAGCTGTAGGAATAGCAACCCAGTGGGCTCCTTCACTTTCTAGCATAGTTCCAGGCAAAGGGAACCTAACCTGCATTAAGATATCATTAAGATATTGAGTGTCCTGATGACTTTTTTCTTTTAAATACAGCATTTTAAAAAAAATTTAGCTTCTGTGTAAGGTACATCAGTTGTGTAATTAAGTAGCTTGTTTATAATAGTGGTAATCATTTATATTTTTGCTCTGGAAGGCTAAGGTTTAAAAAAAACATTCCACCATTTTTGCCATATGGTACTTAGTAGAGTACAATCTCTCACTCTCTCTCTTGCTCTCTCTGTTACAAGGAAGCAATTGCTAAAGCTGTTCATAAATGAAAGGATGTTTATTAAGTATTCACTTAAATTCTGATTTTGTTTTGTTGCCATGGAATGGACTGTCACTATCAGCTCAGGTCACAAAGCCTTTGGATAACTGGTAGACAGTAATCATCACCAATCTGGGCTACATGTTTTAATTGTCAGTTCAGGCCTAGAGAACTCTGACTTGTTTCCCATCTGCCAGCAGATAGCCTTAGGCATGGGAATATCACTGCTACTGAAATATATCAGTTATCTGTTGTGCAAAAATATCAGAAGTATACCAAAGGGACATGAGATAAAGTGACTTTCATTTTAACTGGGGTAAAGGACATTGAATGGAAACATGATGACTGGTCAAAAACAGTTGGGTTCCTTGTTTACAGGCAAAGTAGTTCAGAACTACTTCACACTGGAGAGTACTCTTGGAATTGGGTGAGAAGGGACATGGGCCAAGAATAGACTCTTAGGCCTGCAAGCAGACATTTCTGGAGAGATTTCTTCTTCCATGTGTGCTGTAGAAAAGCGAAGGGAATATGGCAGAACTTGCAGTATCAGTTGGTTTCTTCCATAACTGAATCCCACATCGTTAAGGGCTGGCCCTGAAAGTGAAACAGCACTTTAAATTGGCTGCTAAGTTGTGCTTGTAACTAGTGCAGAGAACAAAGGTTTTGGGCAAACGTATTCTTGGCGGCCTGTGCTACCTTGTAAGAGGGTTGATGTTTTCTACACCGTATAAAAATTCTCTGTGGTCACCTGTGCCAAATGCCATTCCCAATCCCCTCAGCACTAGGAACACTTTGGCCGCTACAAAAGACCTCTTTACTACCACTGGAATTCAAAAGACTTGAAAGGCCTCCAGGAGGCACTGTGGAGAGAGAATTTGCAGTTAGAATTAAATACCTTTTAGTTGAGGAGAACCAGTTTCACACTGGTCTCTGAACTTGGAAATCTTAGCATTTTTTCCCCCAGGAGATGACGGGGTGTTGAAATCAGATTGCTGAAGCTGTATTACATGAATGAGAGCTTAAAAAAAGATTAAAGAAGTTTAAGGCAAAGTTCAGATATATCTTTACTATCTTCCCCAGCACATTGACACAAAGGATTAAATACAGTTTAGCAGAAAAGTGGAAAAATGATTTTAATAGAATATGGTCAGAATTTGGAATCTCAAGGATTGTTATCTATATTTCTGAAAGTAGAATATTCTCCATAAAATTGAGAAGTCATTGAAGGTATATTCTTCTGTAATGACATTCAGAAAAATCCCTATTTATTTTGACCTGAGAGAAGGAGTTGGGGAAAACAAATTTCTCCTAGGAACCAATATTTTATTTCATTTTCTTCCTGACTCACAATCATACCTGATTTATTGTTACATCTGCCAGCGGCTGAGGTTCTTAAAGGTCCTAAACTGTGCTTGAAGTCTCTTTACAATTAACACAAACTTTATATAAAATAAGTATTTCTTGCTGAGGTTAGTACAACTGCACTGAAAAAGAAACACTACTGGAAAGTAAAACCCTTAATACCTTATATATGTACAATCAAGAATTTAAATGAGTTTGCTTTCTTGGCACTTAACTTTACAAAATTAAATTACGACTGAGATGATACTTTAAGACATTGTACTTTGACAGTACTTGGTAGAGGGAAAAAGGTCCCACAAGTGCCTAACTTGAAGAGCCCCATGAGATTCTGAGAAATATAATTTTTGAATACTTCAACTTACTAGTGTCTTTTCAGTATTCAATTAGCATAATTTGACACAATTATAGGTATAAACATTTTATAGGCACTTGGTAGCAAGAATGTTAAAAAAGTGTTGATCTCCATTTGCTTCTATTGGCAACATTCACCTAGTTCTAGCATGACACTTGAATGAGCAGTGAAATATACTCCATACTATTAATAAAATTCAAAGCATATTTCATCTTGACACCATATCACAAGTTTGACACTGCGGATCCTCTCTGAGGAATTTTGAGTCATGGAGACATCCCCTTGCTACATCCCCATCTCAACTAGATGATAATTTGATTCAGACTATTTCAATACATGCCAATATGTATATCTTCTCTGCAAAATGGAGTCATACCCACAGAGAAAAGAAGATAGAACTAACAGGTCAACATCATTTTTGTGAAGGAGTACCTCAGTGGTTTAAAAAAAAACTTAAGTATGACTTTTACCAATTCTCATTTTTATCATGCTTTGTCAACAGGACCTTCAAGTATATAAAATTGAATGAAAAAAAGAAATTATGACTTTTAACTGTCTTGATAAGGTTCTATTTTTAATGAAATGCTTTGTAAAATTTTAGTAATAAAGGAGGTGGTTTAAATAGCTGTAAATCATTTCCAAATCCCACAAATTGGAAATTTGTGGGTGTCAACAATTTCATACAAGTGTTTTATGTTTTCTAAATAGCTAGACCTTTTTGTGTGTGGACTACCTAAAAATATTTGAAAAGAAAAAAATAAGAATTGTGGAAGAAAGAAACTCAAATATTAGGGGAAAAATGGATAAAAATGGTAAAATATGACATTTCTTCAGTTATTTTTTCGCTCATTGTTAATCATTACTTTTAGCTTTCCCAGAATTAAGAGAATATCCATTTGGTTTTGAGCTATTTTACCAGTTCTGATTTAAATCTATGCCCAATGAAAATAATCTGATTCATCTTACTACTATTGGAAATGGAAAATAAGTCCTGTCTCAGTTAACAGCAATTTTTTGGGGGTCAACATTATTAACCATACTAGTCATTTTCATTTTTCAATGGTAGTTTCTGGTTAGATATTGATTTTTAGATTTTAAATCTCCTGTGTACAATCATTTTGCCAGATCTAAGGGTTTTTCCCTTTACTTTTAAATATATATCACTCAATCTGATACTTGTAATAATAGTATTATGATAGAGATTTTTTCTAATTTAATATCTCTAAAAGTAAGAATGGTGAAATAATGTGAATAATTTCCACTTATATCTGTATACTTATGTACAGTTTTTGACATATTTCAGTTGATATTCACAATAACCCTTCTAAGTAGGGAAAAGAGATCTGAGTAAATTAAAATATTTTTAATAATTAGGAACTAACTACTCTTGTAATTCTGATCAAATTATTGAATTTCATCACGTTTATATGTGCCTGTTAAGATTGGCACAATTAGTCTCCCCATTTTATAAATGAAAAACCTGAGGCTTGGAGGAGTTGGGTAACGTGATTAAGATCATGAGTTGGTGAATGTCAGAGTTTGAATTTGAATTCAATTCTCTCTGATTCCAGAGTTCAGGATTTCAAACTTAAACCTGTATTGTTTGAAAGCAGTTTATCCTACTCTCATTTTTTAGATAAGCTAAGTCTCAGAGGAGCTAAGTGTTTGGGACCAAATTTCCCAGTCATTTAAAAGTAAAACGAAGGGCCTGAGCTTGATGTTAGCTATCCTATAGTACTGAATTTCTGTGGCTTCATTGTTCTGTCCATTGTGCAACCCTACATATGGATCACTGCATAGGTGAAGTAGGTACTTAACTCAAATGTGTTTGATAATTAATGGCAACTAAAGGTGATTTCTTACCTGTGTTTCATGAATGAGATATTTCAGAGCTGACACCAGTACAGATTTATACTCTAGCTCAGATGGGATTTAAGCTTGCAGTGATCACTAAGTTGTATGGATCAAATCATACTTTCTAAATGCCATTCCCCCTTGATGTGCTATCCCTTTACCTACACTGATCAATAGGTTTCTGGTTATAAAGATAGGATTGGAAGTGGTTTCTTTGATTTCCCTTGATGATTTCAAAGGCATGAAAGGATACCGCCCCTTTTGTGGGCCCCCCGGGCTAAGGGTGAGGGGATGGTGCACATTGTGATAGCCAGTCAAGGCCAATCCTGACCTTTCTTTGCTGTTCCTTGAATGAGATTTTGAAACAGAAAGAGACAAAGAGGGAAGGACACACTGTAGAACAATATAGCTTTTAACATTTATGTCAAACTTTAGGAAGATCACAGGGGAGATAAAGCTGAGGGAGAAATGGCAACAATGATCCTTTCAGAGTGAAAGGTGACAAAAGTGGAGAATGCAGAAGGGGAGACTGCAAGACAGGAGGAGAGGCCAACAGGATTATATAGTTCGGTGAGGTCCTCCAAACGATTTTTTCCCTATCGCCGCGTTTTCTTGTTTGTTTTCCTGGAAAGTACATGAAAGCACAAAACTAGTTTTGGGGCATTAGTTGCTTCACAATGAGCCCATTCTCAAAGGATAATTTTTGCAGCTAAAAAGTTTATATCAATGACTTTAAAACAGATGGTGGGCCAGAAAGACTGACTTAGAGTGCTAGTGATTTTTATTGAGTGATGGATTGATTGGAGTCTCTTTAAAAAATTTTATTAGGTGTATTGAATTTTTCCTGATAAAAATGAAGACATGTCTATAACTCCATATTTTAAACATATAATCTTAGACTTACAGGATCCTTGAACTCCTGGCTGAAGAATAATTAGTTTAGACAATCACACCAGACTTCATAAGGAGAGCAAAGAGAGTGTGAGAAGATGGGTAAGTTTGAGACAGGGAGAAAAATTAACTGTGAGACATGAACAAAATACTCAATACGATTGCTGGAAAAGAGTGGATGATTGAGGTGAGAGTTTTCCCTCTAGCTTTCAGCCTCTCTCCTTCTTCATTGCTCCACTACTTACAGATTCAGTCATCTTGGTAAAGATTTGTGACCTTTGTCACCCACTCTTTCTTTTCCTTGCCTTATTCACCTCTGAAGATCGAAACTCTGCCAGGAACTAGCAGTCAGACTGGAAATGCCTCCGAGCCTAATAGCTACGTATGTCAGCCACAGCAGTAAAATGGTTACAGCAACCCTTTGTTTCTGGGAAATGTGTACTCAGCTTTAACTGAATAGCCCATCTTTTAAGTGAGTGCTTCTGGAACGTTCATGCATGTTGGTCTCCCCTGGGGATAGTGGTCAAATGAAGATTCTGGTTCTGGAGGTCTGGGGTGAGTTGGAGTCTGCGCTGCTAACAAGTTCTGAGGTGCTGCTGCTGCTGCTGCTGCTTCACGGACCACGCTATGAACAATGAGGTTGGGCCGGGCGCGGTGGCTCACACCTGTAATCCCAGCACTTTGGGAGGCCGAGGCGAGTGGATCACGAGGTCAAGAGATCTAGACCATCCTGGTCAACGTGGTGAAACCTCGTCTCTACTAAAAGTACAAAAAATTAGCTGGGCATGGTGGCGCGTGCCTGTAGTCCCACTTATTCAGGAGGCTGTGGCAGGAGAATTGCCTGAACCCAGGAGGCGGAGGTTGCGGTGAGCCGAGATCGCGCCATTGCACTCCAGGCTGGGTAACAAGAGTGAAACTCCATCTCAAAAAAAAAACAAACAACAACAAAAAAAAACCACCAATGAGGTTATGGTTTTTCCAGGAAGCTGGCACAACTGTCTTCATAACTGTAGGTTCATTTTTCTATGTGTGTCAAACATTCTATTTACTGTCCCGCAAAATGCTCATTTCTAAATGTGATACCGTAAAATAAGTTTTTGAAGCAAACAAGGAAGTAGAAACTCATTTTTGAAAAATCCGAATTTTTCAAGAATATTGAAAAATCAACTCGATCTAATTCAATGGAGGCCGATATATATATATATTTGTTGATGAACAAATCACCAATTATATTGAGTACTTTGTTCATGTCTCACATTTAATTTTTCTCCCTATCTCCGACTTACCCATCTTCTCACACTCTCTTTGCTCTCCTTATGACGTCTGGTGTGACTGTCTAAACTAAGCATTCTTCAGCCAGGAGTTCAAGGATCCTGTAAGTCTAAGATTTTATGTTTAAAATATGGGGTTATAGGCATGTCTTCATTTTCATCAGGAAAAATTCAATTCACTTAATAAAATTTTAAAAGGGACTTCAATCAATGAACTCTTTGATCTAATTCAATGGAGGCTGAGATATATATATATATACACACACACACACACACACACACACATATATATGTTGATGTATATATATCAGCATATGCTGTGGCGCAGCCTGGGGAGTAAGAATAATATAAATACCTGTCCCTCTTCCCATGAATGTCAAACAGAAATACCTAGAGGAAGACTACTCTACTTCCATAACAATATATCATTTATTCACATGCAATTGTATGTAAAGGCTAAGTAAATTTTATTATAAAATGGAAACTTTTTTCTCACACACATTTCAAGAAGTAAAATAAAAACTTGCTGTGTTTCATTTTATACACGTTGCTTTATATTTTGACATCGCTGAGTTAGCATGTGGCTGAATTTGGTAAGTTTTACAACTGCTGTTTATCAGATAGCAGCAGTAAGGAAGGTGTCACTCTGTGTACACGTGGAAGCTTAATTGTTATTCTTGGGGGCATGACTAGACAATGTCAACCTCTTGACATTTCAGCCAAAAACCACTGGGACTATCTGAAGAAGAAATATGATTGCAGAATGGGTGTCAGTAGCTTAAAAGGAAATCGTGGGGACAATTTGAAGGAATGCTGCATCACCAATGCTGTTGAAGGCATAGAAGTTGACATAGTGTAAACTGTTTTCTTTTTTTTTTTTCTTTTTGGGTGGGGAGGAAGACAGGAAGGAAGGGAATAAGGACGGTAGGGAGGAAGGAAGGGATGAAGGAAGGAAGGAAGGGAGGAAGCGGGGAGGGAGGGAGGGAGGGAGGGAGGGAGGGAGGGAGGGAGGGAGGGAAGGGAAGAAAGGAAATCTAGCAATGAAAGAGACATTGCCGACCTGGATCTAGCGGTTTACAAGTTGATTTCTTTTTTTTTGAGAGAAGGAAAGAAAAAAAAGTAAGTAAAGGAGAGGAAGAAAGAGGGAGAGTAAATGGAAATACTGCTTTATTTTGAAAAAAATTGGGTATTAATAATGGCCAATCAATGTTTCATTTAAACTAATGGGTAGGTGTGATGTGGTATTGACAAGAATGTATATTTTGTGTATTTGAAGTGGGGAGCTCTATAAATATTTATTAAGTTTACTTGTTCTGGATCTGAGTTCGAGTCCTTGATATCCTTATTAATTTTCTGTCTCATTGAATCTAAGTCTCCTATCTGGGTGTTAGGATCCTTAGCTCTTGTTGTTGCATTGATCCTTTTACCACTATACCTTTGTTGCTTTAAAATCTATTTTATCCGATACAAGAATTGCTACTCCTGCTTTTTATTTATTTATTATTTATTTTTGCTCTCCATTTGGTTGGTAAATCTTTCTCCATCCCTTTGTTTTGAGTCTTTGTGTATCCTTGCATGTGAAACAGGTCTGGATGTAACATGCCGTTGGGTTTTGGCTGTGTTTTTTGATTGGGAATTCAGTCAATTTAAATTTAGGGTTACTGCCATTTGATGTTGACTGGCTGTTTTATCCATTCGTTGGTGTAAATTCTTCTTTATGTTGGTGCTCTTTACTTTTTGGTGTATTTTTAGAAAGGCTAATACTGATTGTTTCTTTCTGTGTGTAATGCTTCTTTCAGAAGCTCTTGTAAAGCAGGCCTGGTGGTAATAAAATTACTGAGTTCTTGCTTGTTCATAAAAGATTTTATTTTTCCTTCAGTTGTGAAGCTTAGTTTGGCTGGATATGAAATTCTGGGCTGAAGGTTCTGTTCTTTGAGGATGTTGAATATTGGCCCCCACTCTCTTCTGGCCTGTAGAGTTTCTGCCGAGAGATCTGCTGTAAGTCTGATAGGCTTGCCTTTGTGGGTAATCTGACCTTTCTCTCTGGCTGCCCTTAGTATCCTCTCCTTCGTTTCAACCCTGGTGAATCTAACGATTATGTGCCTTGGGGTTGCTCTTCTTGAGGAATATCTTTGTGGTGTTCTCTGTATTACCTGGGGTTGAGTGTTGACCTGCTTTGCTAGTTTAGGAAAATTTTCCTGAATAATATCCTGAAGGGTATTTTCCAGCTTGGATTCATTCTCTCCGTTGCATTCAGGTACACCTATCAAATGTAAATTTGGTCTTTTCACATAGTCCCACATTTCTTGGAGACTTTGCTCATTCCTTTTTATCCTTTTTTCTCTAATCTTTTCTTCACGTTTTATTTCATTAAGTTGGACTTTGACCTCTGATATCCCTTCTTCTGCTTGAACAATTCGAGTGTTTAAACCTGTGCATACTTCTCGGAGTTCCTGTATTGTACTCTTCAGTTCCATTAATTCACTCATACTCCTCTCTAAGTTGTCTATTCTCAATAGGATTTCATCAAACCTTTTTTCAAAGTTCCTAGTTTCTTTACGTTGGGCTACAACATGTTCTTTTAACTCACCGAAGTTTGTTATTATCCATTCCTTGAAGAGTGATTCTGTCATTGGGATGCGCTCGTTCTCCATCAAGCCTTGTTCCATTGTTGATGTGGAACTGTGATCATCTTTAGAGGGAGAGGCGTTCTGACTTTGAGTATTCTCAGCTTTTTTACGCTGGTTTCTTCCCGTCATTGTAAATTTATCCTCCTGTTGTCTTTGAATTTACCAACTTTCAGATTAGGTCTCTTGAGTGGACGTCCAGGTTGTTAGTTCCCAGGGCCAGAGCAGTGGTGTTAAAACTGATGGTGCTTTTCTGCCCAGGATTCTCCTGTCTGGCTTCCTTCTTGTTTCCGTAGTAGGTGACTCTGCCTTCCTGGGGCTCCAAACCTCGGTCAGAAGGGGAACCGGTCCCGTTTACTCTGCGCAGAGTGCTGCCGCCTTGAGGTGTCGGCGGAATCGCTGCGCCAACCACGAGAGTCGCGCTGGCGACTCGTGTGTTTCCACCACTGGGGGATCTTCTGCTTCGTGAGCGACCAGACTTTGTCTGAAAGTGTGGCGTCCTCTAGTTCTCCGCGCCTTCCCTGAGAGCTGCAATCCCGGGATGTTAGCGATCGGCCATCTTGGATCGTTCTCCGTGTAAACTGTTTTCTATGGCTCTAAGATGAAACATAGCTCAGGAAAGTTGGATTCTACGTGTGCAGAAGTTTTAAAACTATGTTCATATATATTTTGCTTATATTTTTCTTTTAACTTGTGAATAATAGTAATGATAAAAATCCATGTGTAAATGAGACTGAAAGAGCTTTTTTTTACTAAGTATGAAATAAAAATACTAAGCAGCAAGAAAGCACCACTAGGAAATCAAAACATAATGCTGGTGCATCTTACAATTAATGGCAGCTCAATTTAATGAAATACTTCATTTTCAAACTTTCATGTTGGGGAAATAAAATTATCTCAGATCATAAAACTGCAGATAATAGGATCAAAAGCAAATCCAAGAAATTACCTTCAATTAGTGTTTGTTTAAATTGACCAGGACACATCAGGTCCAAGAAAACAATGGAGAATAGTGAATGTTACTTTAAATTAGAAAATCTAGGTAGTAGATTTGTTTTTGATATGTGTGACCTTGGGTGAGTCATTTTAACTCTGTGAGTCTCAGTTTTCTAACTTAAAAAGTTTGTCTTAGATAATCTCCAACATGCCTTCAAGCTCCTGGTTTATGTACATTAAAAAATGTAATGGATAAAAGGTTTATCTTACCAACGATCACAGTTTTATTCCCTTTACTATAATGAATGTTTTCCTGATGAGGAACTGATTTTACTTACATTGTAGCTTGTACTGAGCCAGGGTTCATTTAGCTAAAATCTGTTCAGCTACTGGTCAGATATGAAGAACAACTGGTCAGTCTCTTCCTGGTAGTTCTACAGATACTTGAAAATCTGTAATGTTTAGATTTCATGGCTTCTCTTTTCTAGAGAAAATAAACCTATTTTTTTAATGTGTCCAAGAATAATAAGCTTGCAATCCTGTAACAACTTCTATTCTATCCACTCACCGTTTGGTTTTTTGACTGTCCAACAACCATTCCCCTTTCCAAACAGTGCCCTGATTTCTTTCTGGAGAATAACCTATCTGACTC